AAAACAAATCAAAACATGCTTTTAAAATCAAAGGGCGTTACCATAATTTACTTACCTCACTCCGCAAAACCGAGCACTCAAGTCACGTACTAAACTGACAGAACGATCAAGAACCTAATCAAAATACCTCAGAATTAATACCGAACTATCACAAATTCAACTGAAATCATCATTACGATCACTCTTAATCACAATACTATTTCTATCACTTTCCCCATGATCGGACATCTCCAAATTCGTTCTCATATCACAAACTAATCATTTAAATTCCCGTTAAATGTTGGCTCTCGGGGTATGAACAGTGTCGGTGAACAGTACCCGTGAACAGTGCCCCGACGTGAACAGTAACTGCACTTTCCACAAACTGGCCAAAACACTAACTAATCTCACGGGATTTTCTCTCCAAAAATCACAACAAGCAATTAACACTCAATCACATAAATCCCACTTGAATAAATGCTTAAATCTCATCCTAAAGTTACCGGAATTATCCCCCATTTTTAGCCAAATTCGGACACACAAGGCAGCAAACAAAAAGGACAATTTAAGCCTTAAAAGGCTGTCACATACCAGAATTTGCAAGCAAAGCCGGAGCTGCAATTTGGGGAAGAGCCGACGGCATGGAAGGAAAATTCTGCAGGGGACTCACGGTTTAACCCAAAATTGAAGGAAATAAGAGCAATTAAGGTAAACCCAAGGCAATTCAAAGCTAAAGAGATGAATTCGTGGCTGCTTCTTACCAAGAAAGACCGAAAGTCACACCCACAAGCAAGAGCAGCCGGCGAACAAGGGAGGAAGGACAGAGCAGATCCGGATTTTCCAGCAGGGGAAGGAGGATTTCAAGGCTCTAGAAGTGTTCTAGAGTAAGAAAAGAAGGAGAAAACCAAGCTTTCTCACCAATTTTCCAAGGCATGGCTGGGTTCTTCTTTTTTTTTTCTCTTCGGGTGGCTGCAGCGGGAAGACAAGAAGAAGAGCAGAACACGCGGGCTGGAAGAAGAAAAGAAAGAAAGAAAAAAGAGAAAAAGAAAAGAAGTTGATCCTTATCCAAAACTCTTCCACTTTTAAGTCCCTCAGCTTTCAGAATTTTGGCTATTAAGCCCAAAACAATCTTTTCCTCACAAGTTAATCCCTAACTCACACTTAAATATTCCCGAAAATTTGGGATATTACAGTATATTTGATGAGTGGACTATACAACAAGGTATAGAATAGTTATAGTCTGCTCCTTTCAAAAATCCCTCCCAATTTACCTCAAGTTTCAAATTTGAGATCTTCAACTTGAAGTCTAACCTTTTATCAATTGAGACACCCTTTGGGGACTAAAGAATAGTTTATTAAAGTATATGTACATTCTCTACCAATGTTCATTAAAATCAGACATTCTACTGATAAGAAAAACAAACCATAGATATTCTTTTTTGTTTCCCTTTTTTGTATCAACTAAAGTTTATTTGATATTTTCTTCATCTCATAGAAATGAAAGTGTCTTTGAGGGTTTTCCTAAACCTATGTAGAATGTCAATACAATTTAATATTTTAAACCAATAATTTATTAACATTTGAATTCACTATTAATTTCAGGTTGCTGGACTGATACTCCACGCATAAGCAAATGGTAAGACTATTAGGATCTTTATAAAAGTCTTACACTAGCTGAGTTAAACATAAAGGGCTCATTTGGTTAGAGGGTGTTCATATTCGTTGGTTAAACAATAAAAACAAAACATGGTTAAGAAACTACATTAAGCCTAAATATTTATAATTCTTATTAAGATTAGGTCAGAAATAAGGAATACATAATTTAGGGGACGTTTTAATTCATATTCCTTACTCATGCCTTAATTTAGTAGTAAATTATCAATATTAAGGGGTAACTAATTCTAACTTCTTAAGG